AGCTTACCAATGACACTGAAGTTCAATTTTTGAAACTCCCCATGTTTAAAAGTAATTAGAAAATATCCAGTATATATGAAAAGGTAATGGAAAAATGGTAAAAGAACTAGTATCCTCAAATATGTCCAATATTTTACCATCTCCAAGACTCCTGCTCACCTAAAATATATTTCTAAATTCTACCTATTCTTCAAAGGTAAATTATGATGTCATAACCTCCCCCTCAAGAACTGTAGTAATCAAAACTAATAAAAATAACCTCTCTCTTTTAAAAAATAAAGTTTATTTTCAGACATTTTGTTTTAGAAGCAATATCTGCTTAATTTAAAATAGTAAAAAAAAAAAGAAAAATTAAAAAAGCAGAAAATGCCAAAAAAGAAAAAAAAAGACTGAAAACTCAACCCTGGTTACCTCACACAAAGAAAAAACACTGCTAAACTTTTCAGAAACTTCTTTTTGCTTTCTTTCAATGAATACAGTCGTACCTCAAAAACCCTGAATTTCTGTTATGTTAAAATGGGACATATGCAAACTTTTCTACTTTTTCAGTACCAGAAATATAGCGCCAATATACACAAACAGTGAGGACAGTCCTGAAGGAAATAATTAGAAAAAGAGATAACCAAGAATTAGAAATAGAAGAAAGATTTATGGTCTGAAAGATTTTAAAAATGAAACTCTGGGCAAGCTAATCAGATGTGGCTCAGTTCTTTGTTTACTACTCTGTTGCATTACTCTGTTAGCCTTTGTACTAACACTAATTTTATATGACTATGTATTTGTTATTAATTTGTCTTTTTCTTTGTTCAATTGTTTCTTAAATATTGCAATAAATAGTTTCCAGAGTATCTTTGGTAGCACCCCTACATTTCATAGCATTATATTGATATTTTCATTACTTTTTAAAGTCTTGTTTATGTGGTTTTGATTTTGTTTTTCCCTCTAATGGCTTTATGGGATAAACTTCAAAGCAGTGTATAAATTCTAAAATTTTGTTATTTTTAGTTTTGTTGTACTACAATTAAAAAATGTCTGCTTTGTGGAATTTGTTTCATGGATTATTAATAGATTATGATTGGATTTTGTTGAAATGTCCCAAATATATTTGCTCATGTTCCTGTTTTATTATATCTTTGCCCATCTTTCACTTCTTTACATCATTTAGGTTTTTGTGCTTTAGTATATCTGCTTTTAAATTTGCTTTATTGAGATATAACTTAGCATACAATAAAATTCACCAATATTAAGTGTATAGTTAAATGAATTTTGGCAAATGTATACAGTCATGTGACCACTGCTATAATCATGATGAACCATTTCCATCACCCCACATGTCCTTTTACAAAGTCAACCCCTTCCCCTCTGTGCCCTGGCCCCATTAAACCACTGATCTGCTTTCTATCACTATACCTTTGCCTTGTCTAGAATTTCATATAAATGGAATCATACCATAGATAGCCTTTCATGTCTTGTTTCCTTCACTCAGCATAAAGTTTTTGGGATTCATCCATGTTGATGTATTTATAGTAGTTTATTACTTTTTTGCTGAACAGTATTCCATTGTATAGATATATGCTACATTCTGTTTCTCCATACACCAATTAATTGACATTTGAATTATTTCCAGTTTTGTGCTGTCATGTGTTTTCATCTCTCTTGGATAAACACCCACAAGTGGAATTGCTGCGCTATATAATAAGAAAATATTTAATTTCTTAAATAACTGCCAAATAGCTTGCCAAAGTAGCTGGACCATTTTGCATTTCTATCAGCAATGTGTAAGAGTTCCAGTTACTTGACATCCTTGTCAGCACTTAATATTGTCAATTTTTGCTTTTCAGCGTTGTAATAGAGGTGCAATGGTATCTTAGTATTGTTCCGAATTGCATTTCCCTGATTACTATGGCATTGAGAATCTTTACATGTGCTTATTTGCCATCCATATCTCTTCTTTGGTTAAGTGTTCAAATCTTTTGCCTATTTTTATTAGGTTAGTTGTTTTCACATCACTTGATTGTAAGAGTTCTTGATATGTTCTACAAATAATAACACTTTATCAGTACTTTGAAAATATTTTCTCCCAATTTATAGTTTATCTTTTCATTTTCCTAGTAATATTTTGAATTTTCAAAGCCCAATGTATCCATTTTTTCTTTTATGGTTTATGCTTTTGTATTCTGAGAAACCTTTACCTAACTCAGGGTTACAAAGGTTTTATTTTTTGTTTCTTCTATAAGTTATATAGTTTTAGCTCTCATATATAGGTCTTTGATCTATTTCTACTTAATTTCCAAACATGACAAGAGTACCAAGTTTATTATATTGTACATGAACATCAGATTGTTCCAGGACGATCTGTTGAAAAGATTATCCTTTTCCCTAGTGAATTACCTTGGTAACTCTGTCAAGAATCAATTGACCATATGTATGAGTCTCCTTCTGGACTCTATTTCTACTGATTTATTATATGCTTATCTTTATGACCATATCAGATTGTCTTGATTACTATAGCTTTATAATGCATTTTGAATCAGATAGTGCAATTGCTTCAATGTTCTTTTTCAAAATTGTTTTGGCTATTCTAATTCCATTATTTATATTTCCAGAGAATTTTATAATTACTTTCCATTTTAAAAAACCTACAGGCATTTTGACTAGGATTGAATTGACTCAATAGATCAATTGTCAGAGAATGGATATTTGACAATATTGATTTTTCTAATCTATGAACATGAATATCTATTCATTTAGGTCTTTATTTTCAGTCCTTTGGGGGTTTCAGTGTACCCTCGATATTTTTGATAAATTTACCCTCGAATGCTACACATTTTTGTTGCTATTATAAATAACTTTAAATTTTAATTTCAAATTATTCATTACTAGTACAAAAATACAATTGGTTTTTATACACTGACCATGTATTCTGAACTCACTGATACAGTCCCTTATAAGAGTTCGACTTACGATTTTTTGACTTTATAATGCTATGAAACACACATTCAGTAGAAAGTGCACTTCAAGTACCCATAAAACCATTCTGTTTTTCATTTTTAGTAGAGTATTCAATAAATTACATGATATTCAACCTTTATTATACAATAGACTTTGTGTTAGATAATTTTGCCCACCTGTAGGCTAAAGCACATTTAAGGTAGACTAGTCTAAAGTGTTTGATAGGCTAGGTGTATTAAATGTGTTTTCAACTTACCATAGTTTCAACCTGTGATGGATGTAACCCCCATGATAAATTGATAAGCATCTGTAACTCTAGTAGTGGTTTCTGCAGATTTCTTAGGATACTAACTTAGACAATACTGTAATCTGTGAATAAAGACTGTTTTACTTCTTCCTTTACAATCTTTAAAAATACTGCGTTATTTCATTAGACATTAAACTAATTCCAGACCAGCACTTATAAAGGTGAATGAACACATGAGTGAATATTAGTAATATCTAGAGAATTTAGAAGGTTTCTACCCTTTAAAATTCAGTGTACAAAATAAAATTTTTAGAAACTGTAATTCATAAGATAAAGAAGATATCACCTGTATGAAATAACAGTTGTAAGAATAAAGTGAGATAGGAGAAATCAAGAAATAAAGATAATATAGTAACACAATAATAATGAGCAAAATGGGGCT